CAAACGTCAGACTTCTTTACGGGACATTACTTGATATCACCTATATGATCTCTGACGCGAGCAGAAATGCTTCGTTTCGTCTGTCCAAGATAAGAAACACCGCACTCACAGTCCAGCTTATAAACTCCTGCATCTGTAATCACGGATTTCAAGACTGAGACATCTTCCCTCAGGGGACTCTTCCGATTTTGTCTGTAATACCTCTCACATGTAAAATGCAAGGTAAAATGGCCGGTCTTTAATATCAATATTAGACCCGAAAAAATAGTTTTAGTTTCCAATATGTAGCCACTGTGAAACGCAACTCTATATTGTCCATTTTGAATTTCAATTTTGTCAAATCCTGTTCCATCTGTTTTGTCTAGTCCTGTAACAGTGTGAAATTCATTACACATCATATAAAAGTAATTCGGTTACGCCATTTATTCCCAGTAGTTCCACGTACGCAGTTCCACGTGAAACAATTGTAACCTTAAAATATCATATTTATTTCCAAAATTCCATATAATTTTAAACTATTTTTACACCTTCCATTTATCTGAATTCATAAGCTACGCCAATGCACAGATAATAAGTCACGTACAATGCTTGTCCTTTCATTTGAATAGTTTTAAGAATAGGGACGTCGCTTTTATTCCTTTTATTTGTTTTTCATAATACATTAAATAAAAGAGCCTTTTTGTTCTGAGAAAAGTTTATAACATTATTTGCGGTTTATTGGGTTTATTGTGGGGCTGTGTTCACTTCGCAAGAACTAGTTGTAAGAACTTGTAAAATTTACGTAACAATAACTGATTCGGACAAAAGTCCAAATGTTACAGTTCTCGAAGTACTTTATATTCACAAGACTGTGGTTCCCAGTTCAGCAAAAGTAATATCTAGACAGTCAGTAACACTGGATTTCTTTTGATTTGTCAAGATTAACCACGTGGCAGACAACCACGCCAATTACATTGTCTGAAACTAGGAAAATCCCTGTACTATTAGTACCAGAGTAATGGAATTCACTCTAACTTATCAGAACACCCATGCAAGAACCAATTTAAAAACACGAGACCTCCTCATACAGCCCGCAGTGCAAACAGTTGGACCACCGCTGTCATCAAGGTTATAATTCAAATTAAAAAAATTAAGGTTTCTATTCTCAGTTTACAGTATCTAAGTCTTTAGTGACCACGTAAAAAGATGTAATGTGGTCACCAGCGACTGTTGACATTGTATCATAGGATAGAATTTTTATTCAAAAATAGATTCACGAATAACGGCCAATGTGCTGTCCACCAAAGGCGCAAAACCATGCACAAATCGATTTACGGTCTCTTCAGTGTTATACCTTTTTTGTAAATATATCCCCGCACTGGGGAAACCCTGTCTAGCGGGTGCCATGGATACGCACATATGTAGACTACCACAAATTACACCCAAACTTACGAGAGAAATAAATGTAGGCCATACACACATCTCCCCCGACCCGGGAATCGAACACGGGATCTCTGCGTGGTAGTTCAGCATGGTAACCGTTCGGCCATGGAGGCAGTTTACTGCATTCTTCATATATGTTTGATGTTAGTGTTGTGCAATTTGTGGGCAATGAGGCAGTAAGGCAAACAAATAATTAAAAAAAAATTAAATATTGGTTTCCAAGTAAATAAATGAATTGCCTACAACTTACCGATATTCTTTCGTCGTCGAATACAGTAAACAGGGTATCGCCAAGAGCATTCCGCTGATCCAGATGCAAGCGATCATAATGAGCGAGCAGCTCTTCGACATGCGCGGACGCATCGGACGCACGATAGCTTGGTACCTATAGTGCAAAAGATTATGTTTATTAGAAGATTACGAAAAAGAAATAGCGATCGAGCGCAACAATTATTTTTGCCTCAAAAATACTGTAAAACATTATGTTAAAAGAAAAACATCAGTATATGAGTAGTTCCCAGATTTGAGTCGCGCTTTTGATACAATTAACTACGATTTATTGTGGGAAAAAGTATCAAAAGCGGGCGTACCAATACAAATAGCCTGTCTGTTGAGGTACTGGTACGGAAACCAAGTTAATAGCGTTAGGTGGGGAGACTCAAACTCTGACCCATATAGACTGAACTGTGAGGTTAGGCAGGGTGGAATGAGCTCGCCAGTTCTGTTTAATCTGTACGTCAATGACCTGGTGGAGGAGCTCAGCAGAGCTGCTGTCGGGTGTCATGTAGCCGGCGTTTGCGCGAATAACCTGAGCTATGCAGACGACATGGTTGCTGCTGAGCCCCTCTATCACTGGACTACAGACACTGGTTTCGATCTGTGAACGATATGCCGCATCGCATGGCCTCAACTATAATGTTAAAAAGACTGTACTAATGGTATTTAAGTGTGGCAAATGACCGGACAACATTCTGCCTGTCGCATTGAATGGCATCGTACTAAGTAATGTATCGAGCTTTAAATATCTAGGGCATATACTTAGCGCAAAATTGAGAGACGATGATGATTTGGAGCGACAGAGGCGGACTATAGCCATGAAGAGTAACATGTTGGCGCGTCGATTCGCTCATTGCTCCGTTCAAGTAAAAATAACTCTGTTTAGGGCTTACTGTCAGGCGTTCTACACTAGTCGGTTGTGGTACCATTATACTAAGTGAGCTTTTGATAGACTCAGAGTTCAGTACAATAATGCATTTCGCGCTATGCTGCGGCTGCCCTGGCTGTGTAGTGCGTCTGGCATGTTTGCCGTGAATAGAGTAGACGATTTTTTCGCCATAATACGGAAGAGATATTGGTCTTTTCTTGTGAGAGTGAGCGATTCGGCCAATATAATTGTAAAAACAGTATGCGATGCGTGCTACTTTGTAAGTGACCACTCCATTTTTAAAATTTAAATAAATTAATTATTGTTATACTATTATTTCTAATGCGAATTCAATTCAATTTAATGTAATTCTTAATTATTTACTTCATTAATAATTATAATATTCGGTAAATAAAATTAAATTTAATTGGTTATGTAATGTAATGTAACGTAATGTAATTAATAATGTTAAATTTATTAATGAGTGTATACCTAAATAAAGAAACATTTTCTTTTTATTATTTTCTTGTTTTTTGTTATACCAATGCAGTTCACAAGACAATTAAACTATAATTTTTTTTATGTCAAATATGTGTAAATATGAAATCAAATAAGAAATATACAATAATATTAACAATTCATTCATAGCCATTGTTATCAGTACAGATCAATGTAATTATTTTAATTACAGTTTTAATTAGTGATTTATTGCTGACCAGTGAGGCGACATTGAACCCACAAACGGATTTAACCTATGTCAGCATATCACTATTGCTGCCACAGCTGGCAAACATTAATCTTGATTAACAACTTATTATGAGATACTACATCGTACACCGTCGATTTAGTATCGTATTTCGAAACTTCGAAAATTTCTAAAAATACACAAAGGTCTTTTCCTTTGCGTCACGGTAGTTAATAACATCCTCAATTAGGTCAGAAACTACGTCACTGATTTATTTGCTCTGTCTAGGGCGGAACTAATAAGTATTGTTTAGTATCTTCGACATAGCCGGAAAAGCGAAGATAGTTCTATAACTGGGGTTTCTAGGGATACTAGTCAAACTCAATGTGACTGCGGTGCTTCAACACAGACCCCAGTGCCACAATACAGCACTTGCCCCTTGTGTCCTAATATCTGTACGAGGGAAGATCTCTACGCGACCACGGACAGCGTAGTAAAGGTAGCAATGTACAATTCAGGGTTAATAAAGTTCTAAAATAAAATATCGACACCATAAGAAGAAAAACAGCACCTTTTGAATTTTTTTTACATAATGTAATTATTAACGGCATCGCTTCCACTTATAAATGAACCACTTGTAAATGGATGAACCCACGTGCCTTTTTAAACGCATTAGGGAAGACTCTGATAGAAAGGGTATGTTACAGATTTATGAATACTTTATTAACATTGTTTCTCGATTTCCCCAGCGTCAATCTCGAAAGATTTTGCTAATGATATTTGAGTATATGGGGGAGGTTAGTATCAGGCGAAGATTGTGCATGTTTATTTTTTAAATCAATTCTTATTTTAGTAAAACTTATGGAAACTGTTAACCGGGAAAAGCTACAGGTTTGGTATGTAATTTGAGCTGAATCGAACGGGTTCGTTATGGATCTCATATTTATATGATAAATAATAATATGATTTAAAGTATGGTCTTTTTAAATTTTGAAGAACTTTATTAAAATTGAGACAGGAAAACATCTAACGAAAGTTATAATGAAGAAAATGGAAGCCAAACTTGCTAATTTACATAAATTTGAAGGTAAACAATCTTGACAAACGCAATTCTGTCAAAGTGAAAAAATATGCCGAAGGCTGGTCTGACGTTGAAGAATAGATCCATTTGTTTAAAGCTTTATCTCTTAGTAAAGAATTGTATCTACATTTTGTCCAGTTGTAAGTAATAAATGGCTACTAGAACTGATTCTAAAGACTATCCATGTTTCTTTAATTTTAGGCACACCTACATACAAATATTGTTGTTAATTGGTGAATAAGTCCCAACTAAATAAAATCAAATAATATGTTTAAATCAATATCTTATTTAGGTACGTATTTAAATCCAAACTTAGTGGTATGTTAATTTGATAAATAAAAAAGGCGAAAAATAAAATGAGCTTTACTCATAGCAGCAGTGTCTAAATTAAAATGCACCATTCAAAATGTAAAAACAGAAAATAGACTAAGTTTCTTAAGCATATTTTGCAAGCGTTCAGCAGTATTTGTTGGCTAAACAATTTATTATTTGTGTCCATGCTGTATATGACAGGTGACAAGGTAGGAACTTGGTTTGACACTTTCGAAAAATATTGAAAAGCAATTTATAGTGGACAAAAATTTTCAACTCCCTGTTAGATTTTTAAAACGAATTTTGATTTCGACCTATTAAAAAATGACGAACAAATTTTTCGTATTTACAAAATAAAGCTTGCCTAAGTAAATAAATAAATGATTAATTCTCTTTTATTTATTTATTTACCATAACTCATTCAAGGATTCATAATTCTACATATTAAACTATGATCCCCATACTCGGCTAAAGCAAATACGAGTAACCGAATATATATGCGACTTATAACAGTAATTAAATTAAAAGAGAAAAATATAAAAAATAACAAAAAAATGCTTACTTTAAAACTAATTTTGACCTGCATAATGTAACAAAAGATATTACAGTTTTTGCTGCATGTTTATGTGTGTTTGTGTGTGTATGAATGTGTGTGCACGTGAATGCGTGTGCGAGCGTGCGTGCGAGAGAAATACAACGCAAGCGTGATTTTGTATATGTAATTCCAAAAAACTTCAAAATTCGTTTTCGTAAACCGCAACGCAGTAGTGCTGACATTACAGCTTGGTGGCAGAAATAGGTAAGGTGGCAATACTTCCCTGGATGAATTCTTTCATAAGGAGCTCTACTGCTACTAAATGCTATATACTTAGCCATTTTAGCTTAGTGGATCTCACAGTTCGTATTTTAAAACTCAGATAGTACTAATACTTTTGTGGAGACAATTTAGAGGTTATCCTGGTAAGTGTTTTAGGATTGTACGATTGTGCCCATGATATAAATAAGATGCACTTTATACAGTGAACAATAAGTTTGTGACATAAATTTTGGCCAAAATGTATTTGATCCGATCATCGCCCGTAACTTGGTAGATATTTTGTTATAAGTTAGTAATATATCGCAATAAATAATGGAATAGTAATCATACACCTTCTGTGGGCATCCAGGGATACAAAAATTGTCATAGAGAGAACGAGTCGAAAAATAGTGTAAAGAAAATTTCTGTGGGCAACAAGGATTGGCCTCGTTTTCTTGTACAAATAAGGATTAATAGTAAGCCATGTACATATCTATGTATGTATGTTTTTCTATTGTATCTGATTCTCATCCATCGAAAGCCAGCCTTATGTAAACAGCTACCGTAAGTTCTTTAATTTTTCCTTTTTTATTAAATAGGGTGTGGCACAATTTGAAGCGTTTAAATTTCTAGTTAGAATGACATGTTAAATCAAGTCTTAAGGCAAGTCGCGGAGGAGAGGCGGAAAAAACTGTTTTGCTAGATTAAATTTGTTAAATATTTGTTATTAAATGACGGTCTTTCAAAAAATATATGACACACTTAAGGGTATTATCTAAAGAATGTGTATTATAAAAAATACTTTGTTTGATCATATAATATCCTGAAAACTGTCTAAAATAAAAGTCTAAAACGAATTATTTTCTTAAATATCTAACTTTGTACATAATTTTTACATGTAGATATTTCTCTTTATGTACTTCAGAGAACCTGCTAAATTTTGGTTTTCAACTGAAGCTCTCTTAGTTATCAAATTCATATTTATCATAAAATTTGCAAATTACCCGACGGTTTCACGAGATGTTGCGCCGCCCGCTGCTACATTAGTTGCCATCGAGCTCTTGTCGACTACGGATCTGTGTCAAAGTTTCTCCGCCTGTTCTTATTTTACTAATATTAATTTACAGCGTGCGGATTGCGGGACGCCAGAGGTGACTCCCCACACCTCACCTCCTAAAATGTAGGCTCAATAAAATAAAATGGAGCCTACAGGCTCACGTTGTAATACCTCGCCTTAGTGTACACTTAGCTATCTTAGTAGGTACTTCAGTGATATGAAACCTTAGAATAAATAATAATAATAATGTTGCCTTGCACTAAATTTAAGTACGTCTTAAACCAGTGCTTAAATTGATGAGACACTCTTACACAATGTATTAAAAGTGTCTTTTGCACCACAAGCATTGGTTTAAGACGTACTTAAGCTTAGTGCAAATTGACTTTAATGAAGTACAGTGTTTAATAGCAGTAGAGCTCCGACTGAAAGAGTTCGTCTAAGTACTACTTAACATGCCCTTATTCATTTTTGCCGCCAAGCGGTAATAAGAGCGTCTGGTTTTTGCAGAATGTGGGTGAAAGTACGTTCACGTGGGACTTGTCAACTATGTCCCAAGGTGACGGGCGCAGTGGCTGTGGGACTCAGATCTTTGCGATTTAAGGTTCTGAGTGGCACTGCAACTGCTATGGACAGACGTATCGCTTACCATAAGGATCGATTACCATGACCTGTTTGCCCCGTTACTTGCTATCATAATAATAAATGTTATTTATTGCTTCCTTCTCCGTTGAACTTAAAATAATGCAAAACATATTGCTTTCTCATGAATTAAAGTTTTTGTGAAGTTGTAGACTTTCTTTGAATAAGATCTTAACATAATATGTCGAAGGACATTTACAAATTTGAAAACATACGTTTTCTGAAAGCACTTACAGTATTTACCTACTCGTAAATAGACGCTTTTAAGTTGATTAATACTTAACATATATTATGTTCATGACCCTAACAACATATAAAAAGTATTAAGATGAACTATACTTATTGAGAACTTTTGTCGTTAACCTGACTTTACCGAAGCCGGTCGCCTTTAAGTAAACAAAAATGTTATCTCACATCCCGTACTAGCAACCTGTCGGATGAATAACCCATTAATGTTTGCAAAGATTTGACGTCCTGTTTTTTTAGGAAACCAGTAAATTAATTTAGCAAATAGAATAAAAAATTCGGAAAAGATTTTCATCAAAGGATCTTAACAAATACACAGAAATGGTTATTCAGAATTGATTAATGAAATATTAGATAACTACAAAGTTGTATCAATGTTAATACCTGTCAAAAGAAATTCCAGTAAGAGTGAACACGCTGGCAGCGACCGTGACGTTGGCTATGAAGTTGCTGAGCTGACAATAGCGCACGCCGAATACCCAGTCACTGTGGACAATTAAGTTAAAAGGAGTTCTGTTAAAGTATTCAATTACTTTATTCTTTTGCGTAAAAGCCTAATTCTCTTGTGAATACCGTGATAAGAGTGGGGTACGCCATCGACCAATTCTCATCCTGCCATAATTGTGTGTTGGGAGAGACGAGTACATTGCTAGACCAACAGTGAACTTCTAAATCTTTTGATACTCGTGTACATTTGAGTAAAATTTATTTATTAATTGCAAATCATGTCTACGAACGCCATGCTAATAAGAGAGTCAATATAACTCTAGGGTTTATTTTAGATTCATTGATATAATGATAATTAATGGTGATAGTGATAATATGATAAGGTGATAGACAGAGGTAATTAAAACAACCAAAAAGTGCTTGTTTATTCTGTTTTGTTTGATATGAGTAGATCCTTTGATTACGTTTGCCATAGAACTCTACTATCCAAATTAGTAAGATATGGTCTTCGTGGACAGGTGCATAGCTGGATAGCAAGTTACCTTAGTAATAGAACTCAGTGTGTGTAGGTAGTAAAGCTAAATAATAAAAATGAAATAGAAACTCACAGATCAGAATTTTAACTAAATAAATACGGTATGCCTCAGGGTGGTATTTTGGGTCCATTGTAGTTTCTATTATATGTTAATGACCTCCCTGAAATGACAAAATACCCATGCACTCTTTTTGCAGATGACATATCAATAATTATTTATAAGAATTTTGACATAGACTATGAAAAAGAAATAAATGACACTATATGTAATATTATTGACTGGCTTAAGCGAAATAACCTGAAAGTTAACGTTGCAAAAACAAAAATAATACAATTTTATAATTATAATGGAAAGCCCCAGAAACTCTCTGTAAGCTATCATGGACACGATGTTGAAGAATGCTCGTCCAGCAAACTTCTCGGCGTAGTCTTAGACTCTCAAGTAACATGGAAACCAAAGGATGATTCAATATGTGCTAAAGTGGATCGATTTGTAATTCCTTTATACCGTCTAACGCACATATGTGATCAGAGGACTGCCTTAATGGCCTATCATGCGTTCGTTTGTTCAAGCTTGCGGTATGGCCTCATCATCTGAGGGAACTGCGTAGAGTTGAATCGTGCATTTCTTATCCAGATAAAATGTGACAGAGCTATATGTAGAGTAGGTCCGCTTGAATCTTGTAGACCGCTTTTTAAAAAGCTAAGAATTCTAACGCTTCTCGCTACGTACGTATTTGAAGTATGCATGTTTGTTAAAAAAAATTTGGCCCTGTTTACTAAGAAACGTGAAGTATCTACTTTTTTAACACGACATCCCAACCGCTTGCCTGGCCCCTCCCATAACATTACTAGCTTTTCTAAGAGTTGCTGTAATACGTCCATAAAGATATATAATGCTTTGCATGCAGCGATCGCAGACTTACCCTTAAACATTTGACTTATTATGTGATCTGTGTATATATGATATCAAAGATTATTTAAAGCGAAAACAAATTGACACAACTTTGTTTATAAGAATAACTGCTTCAATATCTCTATCTGCGACTTTTAACAGCGATGCAAACGCTCAAGTGCATCGATGCAAATGCGCGATTACGTCGATGCAATCACCTATATATCCCAAGTGTAGCGATGCTATCGCGCGTTTGAATCGATGCGGTCGCGCGCTTGCATCGCATTTGCATCTCCACACGCGTGTGTAAAGGTAGACGATTAGCGACTGCATCGCGTTTGCATCGCTGTTAAAAGTCGCCGTCGCTAAGGTCAGGTGAGGTAAGAGATTTTGGATTTAGAACATCGTAGCGACATCTCTTTTGTCTTTTTTATCGACGGAGAGATTATAGTGCTAAACTCTTTAGATTAAGACTTAAGGTTTGAAGTCGCTCTTCCGCTGATGTTCCTCTTACCCCACCTGATCTACATATACCTACATATAAGTACTACAACATCTACTTAACTTTAACTTAATGATTCTCGCTAGCTCAGAATCAAATTAAATAATAAAGAAATAATGAAATGTTTTTAAAGCAAAATATTCATAATCAACAATAACTGTTGCAGGTAAAAAGAATTATCATATTAAAATGTTTTATTAAAATTATTGGAGAGAGAAGGTAATATCGTTGTATATTTTATTAGAACACTATCACAGCTCACAAGGAAGTCCGTTGCCGTTTCCATGGAGACAGGTCCAAAATTTAGAGGCCTTCTGAGATCCGTTTGGATATTACGTATACTTGCTTTATTATATTATTTAAAAATGTTTACACTCGTAAATAAAAAAAATTACTCCACTAGTTTGTTATAATTATTAATACAAAAATCGAACACAAAGAAAAGTTACTTCGATCTATCACGTCTCGCTCTGTTTCTTGCGTTGGTTTTACACAAACGCAGATCCTGTGCGATCAAAGGAATTTTTCTTCGTGTTCGGTCTATAAAAGATCGAAGTATTTCTTAATTATAATTTTGGGCTTTCACATTTTTGAGTCTACGAGGTCTATAGTCACTTGGAGTGCGATCAAATAACGTCAGCTTGCAAGATATTTTGTTTCATATCTTCAAACATCAAACGTCATATTAGTTTTTTTTTATAAAATATAGGTGCGCATTTGACCTCCATCTCACCTGATGGAAAGTGACGATGAGGTCGACGATGGAGCATGCACACCTAAATAATGCCTATTCACTCTCGCCTTGAAAAGGTCCAAGTTATAACGTTCAGGGAACAAGTTTGCAGACAGGGAATTCCACTCCATAGCCGTTCGCCATATAAATGTGGAAGCGTAACGCTTCGTGCGAATCTTTGGAATATCCACAACATAGGGGTGGAACCCGAGCTTACGCCTCGTCCCCCGGTAGTGGAAAGGGGAAGGCGGAATTAAATCGTGTAATTCCATCGCACACTCTCCGTGATATACCTGTAAAATACCGATAAGCAGGCAACTTTACGGCGGTGTTCAAGGCTTTGCAGCTTCGCCTCCACTAATTCCGAGTCACCTATGAGCCTCTTGGCACGGTTGTCAATTTAACCCAAAGTGGCCACTTGATATGTCGCAGAGCTATCCCAAAGGTGGCAGCAGCACTCCATGCACGATCGGACTTGTATTTTGTATAGCTGAAGCAACTGTTCCGGTGTAAAGAAACGCCTCATCCTGGAAAAGATCCCAAGCTTCCTTGCTGCATTTTTGGCCATAGATTTAATGTATCGGCCGAAGTTCAAATTGGACGACAGGTCCATTCCAAGTAGCTGGAGACAATTAGCTATCGGTATGGATATATCACGAAAATTTGGAGTCAGCTCAAAGGGACTCCGTTTTGTGGAGAATAGATACGCTTGCGTTTTGGTAGCGTTAAATTTGACAAGATTGGCATTGCCCCAATCGGAGACTGCCTGGAGTGTCAAATCTAAACGGCTAACCATGGACTCTCGACAAGACTGGTTCGTTCCTCTTCACTGACCCTTGCATTGGTCAAGTACCTATCTACAACTGTGCTGCCATCAGCATACGTAAAGTACCTGGAATTAACATATCATTGATATGCAGCAGAAAGAGAGTTGCAGACAGTACGAAACCCTGAGGAACTCCGGCCGGAACTGGACACCGGAACATCTATCGCAATATGTTCGGAAGAGTAGCCTTCTAAGACCACTCGAATCGAATGTTCGCTCAAAAAATCCGAGATCCAATTGCAAAGGTCAGTGGGAAGCCCATAAGAGGGAAGCTTACTTAAAAGGCTTGCGTGCCAGACCCTGTCAAAGGCTTTAGAAATGTCCAAAGACACTACAAGTGCTCCGCCTTGCTTTTCTATAGCCTCGCTCCATATGTGATAGGCATACACAAGAAGATCCCCAGTAGATCGCCCTCGTCGGAATCCGTACTGGCGATCACTGAGGAGGTCGTTGTCTTCAAGGTACGACAGGAGACGTTTGTTGAGTACACGTTCCATAGTGTTACAGAGTATGGAAGTGACTGAGATAGGTCTATAGTTGACAGAGTCAGCTCTGCTTCCCTTTTTAGGCATAAGTTGCACGTTTGCAAGCTTCCACGACCTGGGAACACCAATCTCAAGTGAGAGGCGGTACATGCGTGTGAGAACAGGAGACAACTCAGGCGCACAGTTACGCAGGACTATTGCTGGAATTCCATCTGGCCCGCTAGCTTTATTCACGTCTAGATTTCGCAGAGTTCTAAATACCTCTTTTTGGCGTATGCGAACTGGTAAATGGTAGGGTCCCTGCGGCATCTAGACGCGAACTTTCTGCAAAGAGTAAGGCAAAGAGATTCGCCTTCTCTTCTCCAGTATGAGCCAGCGAGCCATCCCGCCTCAGCAGAGATGGCAAAGATGGGCGACAAAAATTAGATTCGACCGCTTTGGCAAGCATACCACTAGGGCCCCTGAACGGGTGGGGAGTATACGGATACAATTGAAAGGGTTGTAACCCTAACTAGCCGTGAACAGGTTCACGGCAATGAAATGAGAAACTTCCGGTACATAAAATTTATTAAAGAAGTAAAGTTTAAAGAAAGGCTGTAACAATATAAAGGTAAATGTAAAAAAACAGGTATAACAGTATAAAACACTCCCTACACTTTATTATTAAGGCACTTACTTTTATTGTTTGGGCTGGTGAATTCAGTGTTTGTTTATTGAAAACATACCGTAAGTAGCGTTTTTTTAAGTTTACTCTGAATATAAATGTTTATAAACTATACTTTAAGGAGGAATTTCATGGTAAACGTTAGAACCACTCAAACGGAATATTATCATATTTATCCAAGTACACCAAAAATTTTATTAGTGCTTTTTAAGTGCAGGATTTGCGGTGTATTACTGCATATTATTTGAGATGTTTTTGTTGGTAGTATTTAGCAAAGGAGGGTATTTATTTAGCAATGCAGAATAATAATTTTTATTTATAAAAACTTGTATTTAAACTGAATGCTTTTCTAATTTACGAAACCAAATAGCCGTCATTTTGCGGTAGGAGGAGCGCATC